CTGAGGAATGCAAGTCCTTTCAAATGGTCAGGCCCAGAGAGGTATGAAATGAGATGGCAGTCATCTCCCTCTCCCCTCCTTGGAGCTGTGTATTCATGTCTGCAAACTGCTTTCTGCAGCCTCAAGTTAACCTAATAGTGCAGCAGCAGATACTACAACTCATACCCTGTGGCTTAACAATGTAGAGCCAACAAATAGATCATGCTATTTTAACATAACTTCTTGGTAAACAACTTGGAACCGCCTCTTCTTTTCCCTTGAAAAACCCACCTATAATTGCTACTAATAGATGTATTCAGGGCAACTTGAATCTATACTTCTGGTGGCAATCCCCAAGCTTCACCCAAACTCCCTTCTTACATGAATTTTGCCTGAGGTCCTGCCTTTTAGTCCAATTCAATGAAATGTTCAGTTATCAGCCATACATGTGGATGAGTTGGGACCAATGTAAGCCATGCAGCCATGGTCCCAGTCAAGATGCATGAGGCTTCTGTGACTCCAGAGAAGCCCTCCCACCCCTTCCTAGCCCACATCCCAATCCCAGGCCTCCAACCCTCCCTCTGGCCGTCATCACTGTCTGGCCACTTCTGGCTCCATTCATGAATCTGGATATTTCCGTATAGGGACAAGCTTGTATATATTTTTTATGTGTGTGATGGAGTTTCTCTCTTGTTGACCAGGCGGGAGGCACAATCTCAGCTCACCGCAACCTCTACCTCCACCTCCTGGGTTCAAGCGATTCTCCTGCCTCAGCCTCCCAAATAGCTGGGATTATAGGCATGTGCCACCAGGCCCAGCTAATTTTGTGTTTTTAGTAGAGATGGGGTTTCTCCATGTTGGTCAGGCTGGTCTTGAACTCCTGATCTCAGGTGATCTGCCCACCTCAGCCTTGCAAAGTGCTGGGATTACAGGTGTGAGCCACCGTGCCCAGCCAAGCTTGTATTTAATTGATCTGCTGATTGGATTTCTTCTTTTTTAATATAAACCCCAGTCTTAATTCTTCTTCTGGCTACCCAATTTCATATTTTTTAAAGTGGACCAAAAAGTGTTCATATTTTTTTAAAACAATCTAAGACCAGAATTTCTCCAAACGTTCACCAATTATTTTTCATTTTTAAGAGTCATCTTGTCTATACCTAATTCAAAATCAATTTTTAAAGCAGCTTCAACTTGCCTTGATCTTGATTTCCTGAATCATTTATCTAGGTTTATTTAGAAACAAATTTTTTCTAACACTCTTCCTGGGAAAAAAAAAAAAACCCAACTCTCTTTCATTTTGCACCTATGTATAATAGGTTACAGAATGTTTAATTAAGTTCCATAGTGTTACTGGAAAGGGTCCTCCTGATCCAGACCCCAAGAGAGGTTCTTAAACCTTGTACGAGAAAGAATTTGAGGGAGTCCATAAAATGAAGGCAAGTTTATTAAGAAAGTAAGGGAAAAAAAGAATGGCTATTCCATGGGAAAAGCAGTGTGTGGGCTGCTCGACTGATTACACTTATAGTTATTTCTTGACGATATGCTAAACAAGGGGTGGATTATTCATGAGTTTTCTGGGAACGGGGTGGGCAATTCCCATAACTGAGGGTTCCTCCCCTTTTTAGACCCTATAGGGTAACTTCTTGACATTGCCATGGCATTTGTAAACTGTCATCACACTGGTGGGAGGGTCTCAACATGCTAGTGCATGTAATTAGTGTATAATGAGGAGTGAGGATGACCAGAGGTCACCTTCATTGCCATCTTGGTTTCAGCCAGCTTCTTTACCATATTCTGTTTTATCAGCAGGGTATTTGTGACCTATATCTTGTGCTGACCTTTTATCTCATGCAGTGACTAAGAACACTTAACTTCCTGGGATGTAGCCCGGAGGTCTCAGCCTCATTTCACCCAGCCCCTATTCAAGATGGAGTTGCTCTGTTTCAAATGCCTCTGACACTAGTAAGGATCACAGGTGTTGTAAGCAGGTTTGGAGCAAACCTAAGTGTCTCCTGGTTGGCCACATCTCAACTGATGAAATCCACAACAAGCAAGGAGCAGCCCCTTGCCCACCTGCGCTCACTTAGTCATCCAGCCCATTTTGACCAATATTATGTGAGTTGTTGGAGCAGAGGTTGGTTGAGGGAACACCCACTGTATGTAATCACAGTGTCTTTTTTTTTTTTTTTTTTTTTTGTAATTGTGTTTAATAATAGAGACATAAAAAAAAATGAGGGAAGAAAATAATTAACAAGCAGCCAACCAATATTTCATTTAAACCTATACATAGGTGTGATGTGGTACTGATAAGAGTGTATATTTTGTGTATTTAAAGTGGAGAGTTATATAAATGTTAATTAAGTCTACTTGTTCCGGATCTGAGTTCAAGTCCTGGATATCGTTGTTAACTTTCTGTCTCACTGATCTGTCTAAAATTAATGTTGAAGTCTCCCACTATTATTGTGTGGGAGTCCAAGTCTCTTTATAAGTCTTATATATCTGGGTATTCCTGTATTGGGTGCATATATATTTAGAATCTTTAGCTCTTGTTGTTACATTGATCCTTTTATTATGTAATATCCTTCTTTGCTTCTTTTGATCTTTGTTGCTTTAAAGCCTATTTTATCAGCACAAATTGCAACTCCTGCTTTCTATTTATTTATTTTTGCTCTCCATTTGGTTGGTAAATCTTTCTCCATCCCTTTGTTTTGAGTCTTTGTGTATCCTTGCATGTGAGATGGATCTGGATGTAGCATACCAATGGGTCTTGGCTTTTTTTGCCTATCTGTGTCTTTGGATTGGGGGATTTAGTCGATTTAAATTTAGAATTAATAACAATATATGTGAGTTTGATACTGCCATTTAATGTTAGCTGGCTGTTTTGCCCATTAGTTGATGCGAGTTCTTAATTATGTTGATGTTCTTTATTTTTTGGTATTTTTTAGAAAGGCTGATAGTGGTTGTTCCTTTCTATTTGTAGTGGTTCTTTCAGAAGCTCTTGTAAAGCAGGCCTGGTGGTGATGAAATCTCTGAGTGCTTGCTTGTTCACAAAAGATTTTATTTTTCCTTCGCTTATGAAGCTTAGTTTGGCTGGCTGTAAAATTCTGGGTTGAAAGTTCTTTTCTTTAAGG